TTGATTGATTGTGCGTTTGTGCGTAGGAGGGAATGATTCAGCAAGTACCCTGCAAGGTATTCGTGGGACGCTGTACAGAAGACCTAACCGCTGACGATCTGCGCGACTATTTCTCCAAATACGGCGAAGTGACGGACGTGTTCATCCCGAAACCATTCCGTGCATTTTCGTTTGTTACTTTCTTAGATCCGGAGGTAGCGCAGTCCCTGTGCGGCGAGGATCACATAATAAAGGGGGTGTCGGTACACGTGTCGAACGCCGCGCCCAAGTCCGAGGGGAACAATAAGAATTTCAATAACCAAGTGAACTCGAACATGCGCCGCGGCGCACCGGGGCCCGCCGAGAATAACGTGCAGGGGAACTATCAGGTCGCCAGATACGTCGGTCACTCAGGTAACAATATGGGCCCGAACGGATGGAACAATCCAGGGAACCGCGGCAACCTGGACATGCCGAACCTCCAGGCGTTGGGCATTACCGGGCAGAATAACGGAGGCGGGGGCGGCGGCAGTATGTCGAATTCGCTGGCGATGGCCGGGCTGAATCTGTCCGCGTTGCCGGTGAACCCAGCGCTGGTCGCCGCGCTGAACCAAGCATCTTGGGGCCTGATCGGTAACCTCCAGACGCCCGGGAACGATCAGGGATATTCGAACCAGCCTGGCCCACCTGGTCAACAGCCGTCCGGCAACAACAGCATTGGTAACAGTGGCAACTCTGGCTTTCTCAGTTGGATGAATCAGGGTGGCGGTGATGGTAATACAGGCAATCCCGGAACAGGTGGACCAGGCCCGAATAACCCGAACGCGTCCCAAGGTGCTTGGCAGAACCATCCCGGGCAGCGCGAGCAGAAGTCGAATAACTTTCTCAAGTACGAGTAAGCTGCGCGATGATCACGGTGTGTCTGTCGATGGCCATGGGCAGGAGGAAGAGAACCGTTCCGGCGAATCCGTTCCTTTCATCCTGACGCGTTTACCGCCTGCCGAGTAAAGGATCTATGCCGTCTCTTTTTTTGTAGTAGGTACGAATTCCATGATTTCCGAAATGACCACGGTGACGGTGACTGACGGTGACTGACGGTGACTGACGGTGACTGACGACGACGGCGACGAAGACGGGTGACGACTGTGACGATTATATGAACGGAAACCTCTGTTAATGGAGGCTCAGGCTGGACTATATATATATATGTATGTATATAGCCTGGCGAAGCTACACCTGCGGAAAAGATTATGTCAATCAGTAAACCATTCTTTTTTTGCCCCTTTAGTTGATTTGAATAATTAACAGTTTGCATTACCGCGTTCATGACTAATTACCAGGACGGACGGCGCATAGGTTTTATCTTTTGCACGTCGCACTGTATGTATATTTCTGATATCCGTTTTCCACCCGTCTATCTCAGAAAAAGAACAAAGTCCACCTGCGCGAAGACAGTAATAGTAGCCCGGAAATGTTGACCCTGTTCGATTATCTTATTATCGTGATGATAACGTGTAGTATATATTGCGGATATTCACGTGTTTAGGGAACGGATAGCTTCGATCATCTGACCTCTGTGCACACTAGAATTGTATGATCTCATTTTTCAAGCGTGCGGTCTAAATCAACTCAAGAGATAATAATTACTATACTGAGATGTTTATGGTGATGAGGATGATGAGGATGGTGGGGATGATGATGAGGATGATGATGGTGATATGAATATGATGATGATGATGATGATAATGTTTGATGATTATATGATTATATAATTTATATATTATATATATTTATATACATATGTGCATATATAAATATATACATATATAAATAGATAGATAGACTATGATTATGATGAGGATGAGGATGATAATGATGATGATGAGGATGATGATGATGATGATGTTGATAATGATAATGAATGTGTATGTGTCAATGGAGAATAAGAACGAGATTTGTGTAGTACGAAGTACATGCGTGTGCTTATGTTTTATTTAAAGTTTCGTGACGTGTGTTCAATGTATAATTGAGGATAATTACCGATCCGATTTGGGCGTGAATTTCGTCGAATCCCGGCGGATCACACGGGAAAGTTTTCTCGACTCCCTCAAGTCATCGTGCATGAAATCAACGGATTTAATTTTCAACGTTCCGTCTTCTTCTCTTCTTACATTTCTTTTCTCTATTTCCTTTTTTTTCTCACTTTCTCTCTCTCTCTCTCTCTCTCTCTCTCTTTTTTTTTAAAGAAAGTCGTTTCATACTCGTTTTAAATGAATCGTCATCGACGGTCTGGAGATTTCCAAACCGTGAGAGTGAGAGTCAGGGTAAAAGTGACCGAGCAATAAAAATAAATCCATGCATAATAGGATTTCTTTTTTACCAAGACTAGTCTGTGC